TTTAGCCATGTACATGAGAGCTTCAAATGATGGATGTTAGATAGATGCACACGACGGTACGCGCGGACAAGCGCACAAACGAAGCACGTTGTACCATACCATTATGAGTTTATTGCCGCGGCCTATGTTGTCCGACCCCACCATAGCTCAAGCTCAATGACTAGCTGCCCCTCAAACGTCATTACCAATCATTTCCGTAGCTACCGGAATGGCCTCGGAACAGACTACCACTTTCCTTATGAATTTCTGACACTCTGACATTCTGACAATCTCTCTGACAACCCCTCACTAATTGTAAAGCGCCACCTTTCTACATTTCAATCTACTCGTCTTCATTTTCAGCGGCCAACAAACCCCATCGACTATTACAATGAGCGACACGATGCGCGCAGTAGGTGTGTACAAACATTAGCATATTTCCACACGCCAAACCTGCTAACTTTGCGAAGACATCAAAGATGGCAAAGGCCCAATCGAAAACCTCCACATCACCGACATCCCCAAGCCGAAGCTCGGAAAGTCGCAAGCGCTCGTCAAGATCAAGGCTTTTGGTCTGAACCGCATGGACCTATTGCAACGTGAAGGAATGTACCCAGTACCCCCTGGTGCTTCAAAGATCCTTGGCGTAGAGTTCTCGGGTACAATCGCAGAGTTGAGCGCAGAAGGCGGAGGCAAGGAGGGCTTCAAGGTGGGCGACGAAGTCTTTGGCCTAGCATATGGAGGAGCGTACGCCGAGTACATTGCAGTGTCAACACACATGCTTGTACGGAAACCAAAGGAGTTGACTTGGGAGCAATGCGCGGGTATTCCTGAGGTAAGTCCATGCCTTCTCGTAGCGTCCAGCGCACCGTAAATTATCGTCTTGCTAACCAATCCTTGCAGACCTGGATCACAGCAACCCAAGCCATGTACCTCGTCGGTCAATTCGCTGCCGGCAAAACCATCCTCTGGCACGCCGCCGCCTCTTCAGTCTCGATAGCCGGTATCCAACTCTCCCTCGCCGACAACGCTTCCGCCGTCTACGCAACCGCCCGTCAAGACGCCAAGTGCGACTTCGCCGTCAAGGAACTTGGTGCAACCGCTGCATTCAACACAACATCTCAGAACTGGGCGGAAGAAGTTATGAAGGCTACAGATGGGAAGGGCGTAGACATCATCGTCGACTTCATTGGTGCATCCTACTTCCAAGCAAACCTTGACGCTATCGCCAAAGATGGTGTAATCGTCAACCTGGGCTTCATGGGTGGAACCAAGGTGCCAGAGGGTACGGATATCAGCGCGTTTATCAGGAAGAGGTGTACCTTTGTAGGAAGCAGTCTGCGATCGAGAGATGAGGAGTATCAGGGCAAGCTAAGGGATCAGCTTGTGGAGCATGCGTTGCCTAAGATGAAGGACGGAAGCTTTAAGCTGTTTGTGGAGAAGGTGTTGCCGTGGGAGAAGGTGCAGGATGCGCATAGACTGTTGGAGGAGAACAAGACTAAGGGCAAGGTCATCTGTACTATCGGTTAGGAGGTAGTCTTATGTAGAAGGGTATCGTAGGGAAGGAGATCACGAGGGATTAGCCAATAACCTCAAGTCTAATCACAACATTCATCAAGATACAGGAGAACTTGAACCATGTCTTCAGTACACGCCGACTATTGCTCCACATGCTACAGCACCATCGCATTTGTTTGATGTTCCTCAGAAGACAAGACTACTGCAGGCTTCGCATTGAGGTTCTAACGTTCGAGTTCAACTCCGTCCCAAAAAAGCACCCCTCAACACTTCACCATCAACACCACCACCCCAAGGCCGCTGCTGGAGCAAAAAGACGACGTTGGCCAGATTCGAACTGACGCTCCCGAAGGAACAAGATTTCTAGTCTTGCGCGATAACCACTCTAGAAACCCAGAATCAGTAAGCAGGCTTGGAAGTTTGGAGAAGATGTAGCTTACCCGCCACAACGCCTAAACACGACACCTGTGTGATTCGAACACACGCTCCCGAAGGAACTGGCTAACTTCCCTCAATACAGAGGACTAGCAGGCCAGCGCGTTAACCACTCCCTAAATTTGGGATTAGTAAGCGTTGATGATAGATGGACTGGGTAGCTCGTACGCCAAAGTGCCTTCAATTCTGTGGTTGTTGATTGATGAAGAAATTTGGATTTGGTGCTTACAGGATCTCAACAATCAAATGCCGGCGTTAGGGGTCGAGAACTGACATTTTGGGTGGATCTGGAAGAGGAGAGCTAGAAATGTTGAGTTGCGGCGACAGGAAGGTGGAACGTGTTCGTGGGTCTGGAGGTTTGACGGGTAATCGGGCGATAAGTGCGGGGTCGTTGAGCTGAATTTGGACTTCGCAACTTCCAACATCTCTTACTATCACCCCATCACTATTCGACAAAGGGCTTTCGAGGAATGCAGAGCTCCAATAAGTCCCGAAATCCGAATGCTGGTTCATTGAGTATCTTTTTCTCCATACGTATTCTAAGGCAATGGTCGTTAGCCCTAGCTGTCGGCAGGTAGCAAAACAAAGAGGAGAAGATCGTCTTTAAAGTGGATGAACTACCACGGGAGTGTAGCCATGTACCTATATACTTGAGCCTTGCGGAACAGCTCACTGCTGACCAGTCAGACCAGTGACTACTCAACCTTGAACCAAATGACTGGCAACTCTGGAGAATCGACACCAACGATCCTGTCCACGGACGGCCTCGCTGCATTTCTTGTCATCCCAGCTCATGCCTTCGCTTCCGCTTCGAAAGCCCCCACTCGCTCGACGAAATCGACTCTTCTCTTGTCGAGCTGACGAGTTGCCTGATCGATAGTTCGCAAGACAGACTCAACGCAAGTACCACCTGACTTCTGGACCTTGTCGTACCTGGTTTCCATCTCTTTCACTTCTTCCACCAACGTGGCTATGTGTCTGCCCAAAATCTTCAACGCTATCTCGAAGCCAAGCTCCCGAGTATCTGGACCTCTCAAACAGCCGATCGCTGATAGCATTCGTTTGGCATCTGCTGGCGCATAACCCACGATTTGGCTTCTTGCCCATTCCAAGAACTCGAATGTGTCCACAGGAGGAACCTCTGGCTGTGTGGGCATCGGTTCACCTCTCAGATCTGCAAGTCTTCCCCTACGAAACGTTGGTGATGGGGCCCTTTTCGATGCTGGCTGTATGGCCATTGGTGGACCTCTTAGATCTGCAATTCTTCCCCCACAAAACGTTGGTGATGGGGCCCTTTTCGATACTCGAGCTGCATCATCACCAGTGCGTTTACGCTTCAAATTCCTCGCATTTGTAGACGCCGAAGGATGCAGACGTTTCAAGTTGGTGTTTTCGCAGTGGGAAGAGCTGGAGTGGATGCTATCCGTGGACGGGGGCTTTGGAATCGCGATTTGAATATGTCCTGGGAAGTTGCCGTCGGTGAGCTCCAGCTCGTACAGTGTGAAGTTGGCATTCGGCTGTACAGTTCCGGGAGTCTCTCGCCATGCCATCGCGTTGCCAGCACCAGGATCAGCGCTGTTCTGATCGGTATTCATCTCTTTCCGACGTGCAAGTCGCAGAGGATGTGGCGAGGTGGTGTGAAGACAGGCAGTAAGAAAAGGGCGGAAAGAGCTTAAATGGTCGCAGTAGCGCTGACTCTGCCTTCACCTTTTCTCTTCTCTCACCTCCACCTACGAAACAGGCAGTCGCATCGGCCTTGGCGCTTCCAACAAGATCCAGCGGAGCCCTTGACTGAGCTAATGCTCATTTCAACGAAACCCAGCATACGCACAGTGTACGTGTCTCCCTGGAGCTAGCAACACTATGGAGGTTTACCCTACCAGCACTGAGATATTGTGTTCGCGCAGTTCAATTTGTTTCCACGTGGGCGGTGGAGTGCAGTTCGCGTGCGTGACGCGCCGTCTCGCCAAGATCACAACGCGTCGCGAAACAAGTTTCTTCCTCCCACCACCCTTCACTCGCACTACGATGCCTAGCGCGGTATAAGACGGCGCGTAAGAAGCTAACCTAAGTCGCATCCGGACTTTCTTTCCGCGATCACAGGCTTTGCCGCCCTCAACCAACCCACCTCTAGGTGCTCTGACTGACCTGGTAACCCACCCAACCGAAGCAGCAATTTCGACGGTCAAAGACATCGTACTGCAGGTGGAGTGGACCTCTAGCGAGGGTGATAGTGTGACAGATAATCTTGAACGCAAGGCAGTCTACACAATTGCCATGATCAGGAAGTGGGCAGTTGATGTGCTCAAGATGGCAGCCTAAAAAGAGACACTGGCAGGACCACTTTCTTGATTGATGATCGTCATGTGATGACAGAACTGTCGGTAACGATGCGGACTGACAGGCAGCTCTACACGATGCTCGCGCCGCTCTGGCCGAGCGGAACGTCATCACTATCTATTGCAACTCCGAGTTGATGCCCGGCGCGCGGAGGAATTGGATGAACCAGGAACACTTCAGAGACCTATACTACCACGGTCACAAGATCGACCGAATGGGACTTCTATAATACTATCAAACACTCATAGCTCGAAAGGAGCGCCTCTCGTTTGACCCCAAGCAAGCAACTTACGCGTCAGCCCAAGCAGGTCATACCGTTGTGGTGGCTACATACAGTCAGCTTCAAGCCATCGAATACGGCAAGAAGGAGCGAGGAGAATGCGATAGACTCATGAGGATCATCTTGAACAAAGGACGATGCATCCGCCAGTGCGACGAGACGAGGCAAGCCGCGATATCAATCAGCTGAAAATCGACGGTGATGTCTACAACTACGGCGAGGAAGCTGGTGCTCGTAAGGACCGACTCCTCTTTCTTCGACAAGAGGCACAGCGTGTACACGGGGGCTCGTGCGGGACACAGTTGTGGTGGCAAGCTACAGCCAGCTGCAAAACCTGAAGGATACCGAGAGTGCGCGCGAGCAGCGGCACAAGCTCTTTCTCCGCATCATTCTTGACGAGGCTCAATGTATCCGTAGATGCGATCGGACTCGACAAGGTAAGATCCTGATGTCTTTTGACGCCCACTTCAAGGCTGTATTCACAGGTTCGCCTGTTGTTGACACTATCCTGGACTTCGATGGGTACTTGGCTTTCCTAGAGTTCGTCGGATGGGGATGAGTCGCCGATCTAAACTCAACCCACAGCACCGACGAGGTTCGAAAGTCGCGGTACGACAAGTTCAAGGAAGGCCTGGCTACCGGTGTCAACAACCGCTCTGAGCCCCTCGAAGATTGGCACAGCGACTGCAGCTCAGTGAACGAGCTAGATGCTCAAGAGATCAAAGAGTCAATCGAAGAAGGGTGGTAGTGCGCGTACTAGACCGCGCTGCTGAAATACAACCGCGACCGACCTTCAAGCCTCAACCGAAAATCCCACCAGAAGGTGGATGGCCAATCGATACTGGTAGACATACCAGCACCGTTCCCAGAAAACCCATACGACAACTACCATCCGGTCAACCTTGACAGCTTGAAGTGCTGTTCAACAGCAGCCTTCCGTTACTACATTGGAAGGCATATCAAGAGGGCCGTCATGGATGAAGTGGATGTAAGGATCGTCGCCACACGCGTCCAGAAGATCCTTGCGATGATGGTCCTGTCAAGAAATCTTTTCAGTGATAACGTTGCAGAGACCAGGGAGAACATGAACCTTGTTTTTGGTTCATGCTTTCGTGATATAGGTATCGAGGAGCCTACAATCCCTCAATTCATCTGTCCAGCAAAGTTATCAAGCAGCTGCGAGAAGACACTGGCTTTACCAATGGTTTGATCCCTAGGATTATACATATTTGGAAGCCTACAATCCAGCAAGAAGATACCGAGTATCAATATATGAATATTGCGGAGGAATACAAACCATGTACAGTTGTATGGCAATTTGATGGCGACATCTTGGCTAGCTACGGGGAAGCGTGAGGCCGCCAAAAAAACCCAGAAAGGCAGTGCACATAAGCCCCAGCTCCAATTTCTCCAAACTATCAGTGCTCTGCACCCACATCGGATTCTCAGGGCTCGAGAGCATGTCGACAGGGTCTATTCGCGCCATGCGAAAGGAGGGTCCCCATCTTCTCACCGCCAGAATGAAGAAAGCTGGAGCCTTGAACCCGGAAGATAAGAACCGCCCACTGGAAAGCGATGAAACGATCCTGTGTCAGTCCTCGTGGGGAAGCCCCGACTACCGCTGATGAGTTGGCTACCTACAACGAGCGAGAAGACAGGTACCAGCGTGAGCTTGCCGAGCACGTCGAAGCGGCCTCGTGGGCAAAGAGCGCGAAGGTGAAGGACTCCAAGACGAGCTCAGCAAAGATCGGGTCCAAGTTCGCAAAGCTGTCGGTGCTGTGCACGCACATCGGCTTCTCCAGGCTCGACAAGATGTCGACGGCGTCAATCCGTACGCAGCGGCGCGAGGGTTTCCCTCTGCTCACTGCCCGCATGAAGACGGCGGGAGCCCTGAACCCGAAAGACAAAGACGATCCGCTCGAAAGTGACGAGGAGATCTTGCGCCAGTTCCTTTAGGACTCTCCGAAGATGCGCTTCCTCATATGGGAGATCCAGCGCGTGGTCTTGGGTAAGACCAAGGTCGCCAGCCAAAGGAAGCTGCTCCTGAGCTTCCAATTTCCTCGATCGGCCGAAATGTGCCTCAAGCTTGTATAATTGGTGGGTATTCACCTGGACATCAATATGTCCGCCGATGATCGTCACAAGAGCATCCGAGCCTTTGACGAAAAGGACTTGCCACAAGTCCTCATCACCACTTACGCGCTGAACATCGCCGGCCACGACGCACAGCACCGATGTGCAACGGTACATCATGTCGAACCGGCCTTCGATTGGGCCACGGAGCATCAGGCAGGCACGAGGGTTTACCGAATCGGCCAAGAACAAGAGGTTGAGATCGTGCGCTTGTTCACCGAAGGAACTTACCAGGAGCTGCATGAGGCGGGCATGATCAAGAAAGCCAACTCCATGTTTGCCGCTTTTGGTGAGCTGCAATCTGCAAGTGAGAGCCTCGAGGACCGGGAGATTATGACGACAGAGGAGATCGCGAAAGGTGCATTCGGCATAGTCCGGGATCGTGTGCGGGGCCGCGACGACAAAGACGTGCAATCAGCCAAGGAGGACGTCATCACCAAGGCGAAAGGCAAGGCGAGAGTACCGTAAGAATAGGTTGGCTTTGATCGTGCGACTGTTGATTGAAGGTATCTACTAGTGACAGGAACGCCTTTGGAGAGGGGATAGCTTTCGGAGAACTTACAAGTGACACGCATGAGCTAGCTGGAAGGCTACGTTGCAACGTGAATAGCGATGACTAAGGCTAATACGTGCACTAGAAAGCTAAAACTGGAGTTGCTGGGGTATCAGCTGTACAACAAGGGATAGCTAGGAAGCTACTATGCAGTGCACATTGGTATAACTAATTGTTAAAGCTGAGCGGGGAGACTACAATAGCTATCGTTAAGATGAATTCTAAAACTAAACAATGACTAGGAGATAACATATCCCGTTGGCGGTGATGGCGCGTGCCCACGTTGTGCGACTGTTGAATACGTAAAGCCATCATTGAAAGGGCTTGGTACGGCACTTCATGAGAGTCGGCCAGTGGAGGCCGCAGATCTGATGGCGTTTGTGGACGTCTCCTAACCGCTGCTTACCTGATCACAATGCATCCTCGCTCCTCCTGGCCGAAGAGACTCAATAATCTCGGCGTCGTCACCGAGCTGCACTCTCAGAACCATCTTGGACCTGGCAACGTCTTCGAACAAAGGGTTTGACGTAGTCTACCACGTGCCCGTCTAGACCCTGAAGGATGAAGCGCAAATACGTCTTTCATCCGCTTTTTGTAGAATATCGTGTATGCTCAACCTTTTATTGTATTTATCGGGATGAGTGCCATTAACGCCCATGTCGCTGTCTCGTATATGCGAAACCGTAGCAAGAGACGTGCTAGTCTTCTACCTCCTTCTCGCCGACTATTGTAGCGAGACCTTATCAACTGATGTCGTCCGAGGTTTCCTCGCCATATGACAGAGTACATGCTCTGCCGGTGTGACAATCAAACAGATATATGGTCGGAAAACGAACAGGTAACGAGGGTCTCGTGACTTTGTAAGGTCGCAAATATCAGGTATTGCGTAGTCGTGATGTGGCATGATCGATGTTGTGCTCATGCTGATTCGAAAAAGCTAGTCATTACGCCAGTAGGAACCACGGGCGATTTCTTTGGGCCACGTTTTGACTTCTTGAGCACGCGTTGCGGGTCGCCGTTCCGCCCGATCAAGCGACCGTTGTGTGCTTGACCGTAGTCTTTCCAGTCCTGGCAAGCCTTCCAGGCCGCCAGTAGATTCTTGACGCCGTCATCGACCGCCGTGTCTGTGGAAAATCCCACAAGAAGGTCATGGGCTTGAAGAGCCCATAGTAAAAGCCGGAATTGTGCTAGGGGAAGTAGGCTATGTCCATGCCATACACCAAATCCGGTGAGCGGATGATGAGCGTGAAAGACTGAGAGCGCTGGAGCCATGGCAGGATGAGGTCTGCCTTGCATGCGAAACTATCCAAGCCGATGGAGGGGAGGAATGGCTTGATCCCGCGAGCGGCGAGTTTGTCCAGGCTTGTATCGATATTTTGAACTTGTATGCGCGAGCATAGTACGACCTTATGGAGGGGTCGATTGTCGTGTGCGCTTGGGAGAATTTGTCCGCTGAAGCGCATGACGTGTGGACGTCATACAATGCAATAAGTGTTCCCGGGACATCCAGGTCGCTACCGTGGCTGTCAACCAACGTGTCGAAGACTTTTCTGGCGAATATCGGTAGGCCTTTTGCCATGTCTTCTTCTCCAGACTTCCATGCTTTCGGTGCGGCACTGGAAGACCTTGCCCCGGCGAGCACGCCTCTCGCTTTGCCAGTTGTTGACTAAGGTATGTATTCAGCCCGATGTACGCCGTCGAACCGCGCGTACTTCGAACTCTCCTTGCCTTTACACCTGGTCTCGTGTGAAGCTAGAAGGTACAGGTCGTACCAAAGCTTTGGGCATTTACTGCATTCATACAGTCCCCTCATGTCGTGGACATGCATGCCAGCATGAGTGTCATACACTCAGATGTCCTCTTGTTTCCTTCGCTGTATTATCGTTTTCGGTGCCCGGCTAGTGAATAGAGGCCGCACCGGTGAAGCATTCGCCGCTTTGTCGTCTTCTGGGGGCCTCATCCGAGAGACTGGGTGACTGCAAACTCCGACGTTGTCGCCACGGTTGTTGTTGCCAGTTCCTTGGAGAATTGAAAGTGTCATGTATCCTCCTGCCCTGCTCGTACAAAAGCAACCCGTGCCGCCATGTTCAGTCCCAAATGAGAACGTTCTCCAACACAAGTCATCGCTCATGGACTGCATCATGTCTTGACGTATAACTGCAGCAGGCTTCTCTTCTTGGCTGAGGCAGCCATCTCGGCATCCAAGGAATAAGGGCAGTGATGGCAAAACCGTCTGTGTAACCCAGTTCCTGAGGTCAGGCTCTTGGAGTCCAGTTACGGCGCTCCAAGTCTGCAGGATTAGGTGGTACTCCTTCTGACCAAGCTCCTTGATCTTGTAGATACCGGTGATGAGGTACGCGCGGGTACTTTCCAAGGTTGGGTTTCTTCATGGTGCAAATGGAGATGGGTAGACGGGCAAGGTCGCCAAAATGTCTTAGCTGCAGGGATTGATGGCGGATCGAAAGTGGTGGAGGTGATGGGCGTGGTAGGGCTGGTGAGGGTGGTAGAAGTAGTAGAAGCGGCGGAGGTATTGAAGTGTCAGAGGTGGTACAAGCGCTAGACTGCCCAGGTGAGCACGTACCCGTCAGTTCGCAGTCGCGGTGCTTGACGGACCGCGCAAAACCAATTGCGCCGCCACAGGCCGGCGACAACGCTTTGCCTGGCTTTAACCTTCCGATGAGGCACTTGTTCAAAAAGACGTCGGTAAACAAGCGCACAATCTCGACATGTTCTTTTTAGCTGATACGGTACGCGGCCATAGCTCTGTAAGTTCTGTTTAGCACCACCACTCATAAGCAACAAGCGATTGCCCACGATTATTGCACAGTATGCTGCTGCAACAGCTACGATAATATTTGGATTCAGATCACGAAGGTAGGTATTTCTGAAATAGGTCAACAATGCCTTTGCAGCTTCCCAAGCGCCGAGATACGCTCACATGCCGACGATTCGTCCACCCGGCCACATGCGGCGCGAACCCATCGCACTTCCCACTCACCTAGCCAACCCCTTCGGCCCCGCCCACTCGCCCTTGACATGATATTTTCCATAAACCCACGGAAAGAAGTCCTTCTTCAGCCAGTAAAACGCCTTCCGCGGCACTCCCTGATCAATTCCCAATAGCCCATTGAACGTCTCCTTCGGCACACCCCCATACATAAACTCCGCAAGCAACACCTCCTTCCTCCCTGTCAGCAACGGACAAGACGTGTACCCATCGTAACTAGCCGTCAGCTCCTTGCCCTCCATCGCTGAGAGTACGTTAGACACCAACACCGGTGCTTCGGCCGTGATGGCAGCCACGGTTTTGGATGTCGGTAAAGAGGACGCGTCGCCTATGGACCAGATGTTGGGGTAAGAAGTGTGTTGCGTTGTAGAATCCGAGACGGAAACATAGCCTGCTTCGTTTGCGATAGGGCTAGATTTGATGAACCCCCAAGGCACGTTCTTGGGCGCGACGTGCAGGAAGTCGAAGTGTTTCTTCACTGGGGTGGGGGAGTTGGGGGATGTGAAGGTTGCGGTGTTGCCGTTGATGGAAGTAAGGTCGTGTTGGAAGAGACCTTCTACGCCGCGTTCTACGCGGAGCTTTTCGAGCGTTGCTGCGCTGGTGGGGTGTTAGCACATTTCTGCCTCGTTTGCATGTTGGAAGGTAGAGGAGACGACTTACTATTTCGGCACACCGAACATCGTAGGCAACCCCGTCGCAAAAGCGACGTTGATATCCTTCGGATACAGCCCAGCATCCTTCCAATAATCCAACGCAAGCCACATGATCTTTTGCGGCGCGCCCGCACACTTGACCACGCCGGCTGGCTGCGTAAACACTGCATCACCCTTTTTGAACTTCTTTACATTCTCATACGCCTTATCGCAATACGCGTAATCGTAAATCGTGCTCACCATAGCATCTTTCTCCTCCAACGCCTCCTTCAAGCCACTCACACTACCATAGTCAAGCGTGATACCGGGCACAACAACCAGCTGTTCATACCCGATCTTCTCGCCGTTACTGGTCAGGACGTAATTTTCCTCTGGTGCAAAGCTTCCTACAGCGCTGTTGTAGAATTTGAAGCGTGGATCCATGAGCTCTTTCAAGGGGCGGCGCAGATCTTCTTTCTTTTTTAGACCGCCGCCTACGAGCGTCCAGCCCGGTTGGTAGTGGTGCCATTGCGCGGGGTCTATGATGGCGATGTCGTCTTGGGAAAAGTTTCCTTTGCGCAGGAGTTGGTGAGAGAGGGATATGCCGGCTGAGCCGCCGCCGATTACGACGATTTTGTGGTTGCGGGTCGTTGTTTGTACTGGTGATACTGTTGCTAGATTGCGGATGGTGTGTTGGAAGGCTGGTCGCGTGATCTTGGTCGCGGTTTGCGATGCACGTTTGAGGGTTAGTGCGGACATGGTGGCTGGGTTTGGCGACTGTCCGCGAAGGCTAGGAAGGGAAAAGGAAAAGTGGAATGTAAAGACAGACAGGAAGGCTTACACAAAGAGGTATGCGGTGCCTCCGGTCTTCGACTAAACATTTCATGCCATGTGGGTCAGCGGCTAGCAATTCAGGAACGACCAATGGATGAGGTGGAGATGGGTACTAGCGTGATCACGACATCGTCGGAAGAGTAAGCCAGCAGTCACAACCAAACATCACAATTACGACGAGACACAAAGTGTAACTGTACACAACATAACATTAACTCGTTTTAATCATGAAAACTATATAACAGACATCCTAACCCAGCGACTTTTTACAAGCGCGACAGTCCAGCAATCTCCCTCGGGGCGTGGTAGTTGGGGACCTTCATGTCGAGGGCGCTGCCGCTGTAGCCCAAGTCCTCACCCGTAAGCACGGCGCACTTCTCGCCAATGAGGAGCGCAGTCGAGTACGTGTTGCAACCGACGTTGTCGGGGCAGATGGACAAGTCGGCGACCTTGAGGCCCTTGACACCGTGGACGTTGAGGCGCTCGTCGAGCACACCGTGCTTGACGATGGAGTTGCCGTTCCTGGGTGCCATGGAGCAGGTACCGAGCGAGTGCCAGGTGGTCTCAACGTGGCCTGTAGTGTGTTAGTGAGATGTCCGACGACTCATGAGTAGGGGAATACATACGCTTGGTCCAGTCCTCAATGTGCTTGATGTCCTCG